TGTGTTAGAAAACAGAAAAAATGGCCATTACCTTATAAGGAACCTTGCAGCTTTCTCCTACCCTGCTGGTTTTGTTCAGCCCCTGTTCCTTCATGTACACCTCTGCAGAGGGGGCTGGCTAAGGAAGACCTCCTGCAACCTGCTGCCCAGCTGCACGAACTATCTCGGACTCCCTAACGTGTTTAAGTAGGGAGGGGAACAAAATGTCTAGGGAAACTTGTGTAAGAATTTACTACACAGAAGAGGAAAGAAGAAATTATTATTTATTAGTGTAAGAAATTATTACATATTGTAACTTCTTGTACTTTGTTAAGAAGTTTGGATGAAGTTTGAAGTTATTTCCACTGGGTTATTCAACCCCTGCATTTAGGTAACATGAAGAAAAGAGATTTTAGCAAAATTAACAAATCTGTAGTGTGGGTGGACCCCAGTATGCTCAACATAAGATCAGTCCCCTGTTCTGAGGTACGATAACTGAGTACAAAATAATGCTTCATTTCATTCTAGTATTCCTGGGTATACTTTTAATTCCCTGGCACTGAAATTTGTTTTAGAAATCGAGTTGAGATATCTGTAAATGTGTAAGTCAGGTCTTTAAGCTCTTACCATGTATCTCTTTAGTTAGTTAGTTCCAAGACCATCGCTTTCTTTTTCTAGTCTTGGAATCCTTGTATCTAGTGACCGTCTTCATGTGAAGTTGATTTAGGCTTGCTTTTACAGGAATAAAACACTTTTGTCCTGCACTGACAAACTTTTTGAGTTTTCGTCTTTAGTTGTCTTTGAATTAATTAAAAAAGCTCACTTGTTAAGAAGCAGTGATGGTGAATTACGGTGCAAGGGGATAATTTTTTTGTGGATTATTAGCAATGAATGTCATATTTAGATGTAAAAATTTAAAGATCAGGGACTTCCCAAACCACATGGCACTGAAATCTAAGGAACCATAAAAATTCTGCTCCTAGGATTTGTATTCATTTCAGCTAGCTATAAGTAGCTAAAGGATACTAGTCCTGGTTTGTTGTCAAGAATTCCACTGCCAATAAGGGAGAAAGACAGATACCTTTGGTAGTGACTGATGATTAAAGATAGAAGAGGTGGATCTTCTATGTCAGAAACCTCTTACGATCGTATCAAAGAAGAGAAGCCTAAAAAGCATAGTCCTTCAATGGACTTTTAGCAATAGACACGACTGAGAACCATCACCTTCACTTCCCATTTGATACCTTCTAATCTCTCTTCCCCATGCCCAGATACTGACTCTGTGGGCTTGTTAATTCTCTATGGGTTTGGCCCCTGGGGTGAGACATGCATGTCTCCATGCCTAGCTCCCAGTGCGTTTGGAGCAGAGTCAGTGGTCATTATTAGGCAATGGCTCCTGTATCCCGTATCCTTTCTATTACAGGATACTTCTGTCTTCATTCTTTTTGCTTCATGTAAGATTGTCACTGTTGTCATAGAGTTGGTCTTTGAAATAGATTTCAGAGTCCGTACATGTCAAGATGAAGACTGGAAATTATCTTCACAAGGAAACAAGTGAAATTTTAAATATTAATAGTCTAAGTTTGGTCTGAGTTGCCTATGCATCAGAAGGTTAGTCAGTTTTTGTCAGGGTTAAAATTGCACCACTGGTAAACAAATGTTTTTAAGTATACATTTATTTAGAAATGCTTCTGTAGAATCCTTGCTGCACTGTGAACTTCCCTCTAGCTACACTCGCCCTGTTAATTATGTATAATGATGACTGAAAAGCTAAAAGATGTGCTTATACAACTTCCTTTTCTCAAGCACATTGAGCTTCATTTGCAGAGTGATCAGGAGGCAGTTGCTGTTTGTGGATTTTATTTTCTTTGAGTGCTTTGAGAAGGCTTAGGGCTAAAAAAGATCCCATTGCATATCAGAGCCAGTCAGGTTTAGCCAGGTAAGCACGTAAGAAAAGAACGGTGAAAGGCCAATTCTGAGGTGAAGTGAAGGAGCTTGTATTTCACTTTTGAGCATGGGTCAGGTGACTCAGAAGCAGCGATACGTCAGGAAGGAAAATTATTATATCAAACAGCAGTTTGTGTTTCCCAGATTAGACTTCTCAAGCAAGATTAGATGAAGATTTTCTTTCATCATTCTAATTAAACTATTCTGCCTTTTTCATTGTCTTATGTCATTGTTGATGAATGATGTAGAAGTGCCTTGAGTGCTGCTTCCCAAATATAATTAAGTGAGATGTTTTTCAGTGGAAGAGATTATACTTTTGCTGAATTTAAAGCAGCTAAAACAGAAATACGGACTACATATATTGAAAGTTAAACTGTGTACCTGCATATGCTGGATTAGATGGGTTTGAATCTTTGATTGAAACTTTTTTTTTTTTAAATTTGCCCTTCATTTTCTTGAGTTCTTATGTTTAAGATTTAAGATGACCACAAAACACAAGTGACCTTTTAGATTACTGCGCAAAAAGGGACAAGACAAATAAGAATTTTGTAGTCTAACACATAACATACAGAATCCCATGTCAACTGTAGCTAATTAGGAGTCTGCTGTTGTGTTCTATGTTGTTTCAGAACATTCCCACTCACTTACGCGGTAATCTTTGTACACTGAATTAACCAGGCAGTTCACAATGATGCTGTCTGGAGTGTGAGCTGCCACAGAGAGTATTTCTCCTAACACGGAACAATAATCTGAGCTAGATGTGCAGGGGAAGGTGTAGTTTTGCGGTGCAGAAATCCTATAGCTCACTTTGCAAATCAAAACTGGGGAACTCCCCCAGAGCTACAGTCCCTGTCAGAGTTGGGTTTTATACAGTTTAGATTAAGTCTTGCCCATGAAGCAAGTTTAGGAAAGCATATGGGAATGGCAGTTAACAATTTATTCCATATACCCTCAAAAGACTGATTACTGACAGCTGTAGGAATGCTAGGCATTAAATGTTTGCACTCTTGTGTGTTCCTGAAAAAGAGGTAATTGCGTATCTCTACCTGTAATATTATGTCCCAGAATTTCATCCTACATTTGTAAGTAATCCTTATTATAATGCAAATAGACCTTTATCACGTTGACTTATATATGAATTGTCTTCTAAACTTTGTCTCAGTGTAACATACATTATTGTTCACTCTGCAGTTCTAGCAATATTCTTATAAACTTCCACTGCATGTATGGACTTTATCATCAAATTTACTTCTGTTCATTTCCATAGAAGACCATGCACCTATAGTTATAATTTTCTTTTTTTTTTAAAGCAAAGATATTCACTTGAATTTGAGCAACTTCTTATTCATTTAAGGGCTCAATAAGACAGTTTACCGACTGAATTTAGAAGGGTTTGAAACAAGCCTTTGTTTATTATAAGGATAGTAAATGTAGGGAGAGGTTCCTTTTCATAGACAACAGTTTGTCTGCTTGACGATTTCTTCAGAACGTTATTAATAGCCTTTTCTATTTAAATAATTAAATTCCATGTCAGATGAAAGTCATTACAATGAACATTGTTTCTTTTCTTCTGTTACATTTGTACATTCCTTAATTCTGAGCAATAGACTCAGTCTTCTGCATCTTGCTTACAATAGCTACTTCTTGTGTGTACTTTCTGTTTTGGACTATGCCACTGGATTTGTGTTCCTTGGGTTGTTAATTTATCATCCATGAGTACATGGAACATGTGAACCTCCAGACATTCTTTGTATAAATAGGTTTTTCATGAGTAGTCAAACTAATTGATTTTGTTTTCATTTTTTTGTACGGATTTTTGTTACTTTTTCCTGTGTACACCACTGGTTACCTCAGCTTCCTTTCCCTTTTCTGGCTCTATACAACTCCTCCATTGGGCCAGTTAATGCACAGCTGCAACTAATGCTTATTTGATTTTTGCTGATTTGGGTCGTCTGACTTGTATGGAAAAAAAGGTGTCTAACAGAATTTTGTCTGTTAGTCTATTTTCTCAACACAACCCAGCCACAAACTTTTAATGAATTCTTTGGGAACCTATGGGGGCAGGGGGGGTGAGAAGTGAGATAGAACATTTTGTTAATATTTGACTAATAAAATAATATAAAATGCTCTGTCACACAGAGTTTTTCATATGGAGTATGTAGGCTATTTAAGGAAAAAGGAAGGATAGTTATAATTCATTTTATCACAATATGATTGAATATCTTGAGAAGTTTGATACTCAAAGAAAGAAAGATGGAAGTTATCTAATGTCTAAACTTCAATTATGAAATATGCAAAAATGAAAACTGGCATTGTCAGCCAATGACTCTGCCTAAATATTCTTTGTGTTTTCCAGTAAAAGGGCTTGCTGTTCATACTTCATGTGAAAGCGAACCTTTGGGTTGGGCATAATTTATAAAATGCATGGGCCAAATTAGCCTAAAAAATTGCATTTGGAAAAATGAGCTAATGTAAAAATATAAAAATAATACAGCAAAGTGATTCTAAACATTTTTAGTCCCACTCCATTACCTACAAGAAATCTTATGTTTCTGGCTCTTCTGTCTCCAGGGATGCAAAATTGCATCACGTTGTATTTTTTTCCCTCATCTCAAAATAAAAGAAGGAATTTTTGCTTTGAACTTACAAGCTCTGTTGTTGTTTTAAACAGCCTTTTTAAGGGCTGTATCAGTCCTCTAGAAGGCTCTGTGAGTCTGTTCTGCTTTTGTATGTGGTACAAAACCAGTATACAATCAAAACCTGAAGTTCTATATCCAGCAATTATTTTTAAGTACTTCTTTTAACTACTTTATCTCTTTGTCCTGTGTTGGTATTTCTTTCTCAAGAGACTTTGAGCAGATACATATTTTACTGTTGTCCACGATTAAATTACTTGCAATTTTTTAGTCTGTTCAACAAAACTAAACATAAATGATAAGTTAAAAAAAAAATAGCAAGAGTGGACCTGTCATTCTGAGAGATTGATCTAGGATTTCTTGGAGAATTTATTTTAGGAAATAATTCTGGATTTCTTTATTCTTTCTTTCTTTTATTTTTTTTTTCTCTGTGTTCAGATGGAAGACGTCATAGCCCGCATGCAAGATGAGAAAAATGGGATTCCTATTCGTACAGTCAAAAGTTTTCTTTCCAAGATCCCCAGTGTCTTTTCCGGTAAGAGTCAAAGTGAATTTCATACTATTTAAAGTTTCCACTCTACCTTATGTAAGCAGATGCTCAAATGGAAGACACTTTTAACTTAGTGCTATGGGGAATTCACAGTCATCTGGTCTGGAAGAGACATTGACTATCCTTTGAATACTTTAAATATAGAAGTTTTTGGTGTTTCTGTAACATTGGAATGGGCTAACACTGAGATGTTTTTGTCCTGGAAATTAAGTGAAGGGAATACTTAATTTACTACAAAAAGTCAATCATGTGAAGATGGCAATATTTTTATTGCAGAGTTTCTGCATTTCAGATCTGGTTTTTAGCCTGTTTTCATGGCAAGTATGAGTTTACTGTACAGGCTAGTATGTGAAGATAAGAACTGCCATAGCAGCAGCACAAAAGGAAAATCATCACTGCACTCCGCAACTGATACTGAATTGTGGCTGTAGACATTCATTACAACATTTATGGTCTGCTTTTGTAGCTGGCTGCCGGTGCCCAAGAAGCTAAGACTGAGATGTCTGTGGTGATTTGCAAGACAGCTGTAAACTTTATAGCTAATCCAAGTCAGTATTGTCATAGGCACAAAAATCTGTCCAGTTATTAATTATCTAGTGTAATATATTTATTAATTTATTTACATACTTTTATATCAATTTATTCATTTATATATGTGGATATGTATCTTTTTGTGCTACCAATGAGTATGGAGTTCCTTTGAAATAGATGCCATTATTGAACCTATTTTTTCCATACTCTGATAACAGTTGCAATTTTTGTAATGGAAAAGATAATCCTACATAGAAAGTATTTATAGAAGTTTGTACTGTCCAGAACAGCAAGAAGAATCCTATACTTTAATTTTCAACCTTTGGAATGTTTTTGCTAATGAATAATTCTGGCACAAAGAAGGACAGAGTTTTAAGAGGGAACAAAATGTCTTTATGATTTTAGAAACTACTTGTACAAAAACTAGCTTCTGAAGAATGGACCTTTATTTCCCATAAATTTGTACAGCATGGTATCCTATTAAATGATCCATGTTAACTGTTATTCTCTGCCATACCTTGGGGCTATAGATTTCAAATTAGATAGACTCCCGTTATTTATATAGCAGGAGACATTATTTACCAAAACAGGTTTTTACTGGAATAGACATCATACTTTTTAAGGTTGTGTTAGAATAGCTATACATAGTAGTACATAGCAGTCACTGATACAACAACTTTTGCACTGAGGCATTAACTTTATTGGCTGTAGGGCAAAAGAAAAAGCATAGGAGAGTTCATTTTTTCCCCTTTGCAGGTTTTCTCCCTCAAATACCAGGGCAGTAGCTTTTGATACTCATGACTAAAAAAACCCACCAGAACAGCACAACTGTCATTCTGGAAGAGGGCAGGTTTAGATTAAACATTAGGAAGAAATTTTTCACTTTAAGGGTGGTGGGGCACTGGAACAGATTGCCCAGAGAGGTTGTTGAGGCCCCATCCCTGGAGGTGTTCAAGGCCAGGCTGGACGTGGCCTTGGGCAACCTGGTCTAGTGGGAGGTGTCCCTGCCTATGGCAGGGGGGTTGGAACTCGATGATCTTCAAGGTCCTTTCCAACCTAAACCATTCTATGATTCTATGATTCTAGTTCAGTTAATCTACTTTCTTGTCAGTTCTCTATTCTGGATGTAATCTGAACTCTGTAAACCTTCATGTTGAGAGTAGTGGGTTTCCTTTAATGTGCTAGGAGTTTGTGTATATGTAGCAGACCAATCTCAGCTTGAACTCAAAACTATTGATCTCTAGGAAACATAGGAGTATTGTTGTCTAAGGATTGTGATGAGAATCATGAAAATGTATATAATAAGAGCTTAGACTACTGTTATTACCTACAAAGGCATCCATATGAAAATGATCAAATCAAGAACAGATGCTCTCCAGTTAAAAAATACATATATGTGTCTATATACTCATATATATATATATATGACTGTGTGTCTATGCATAGAAGCATGTATTATAGCCAGCCATCTGTCCAAGATTATATCCTATAAAAACTGGAAGTTTGCAATTGCTTTTCTGTGGGGAGAAGCAAAATGGGTACGTCTACCACAGTTAAGTCATGTACCTGCAACCACATAGAAAAGAACTATAAGCATCCTTTAAACAACTTGTAAAAATTGAAGGATGTTCATAAATTGTCTGTGGGAATAGGGTCCTATTGGGTAGCATTTTAATTATGTTTTTATAAAAGCAAGAGAGGTATTTTTTATTTTTGTTTACTTTTATTTCATAATGTTGCTTCTAAAAACAGCAAGTGAAAAACTAGTTGAAAGAGCAGTTGGTGAACAACTTAGTATATTACAAAGCCTTTAACAGAAATGATGGGGCTTAATATGTATAGAAATAAACTATTACTGGAGAGGCAAAAATGCATCCTTGTTTAATTCCACATGGGAGTCAGCATAAAAGAATCAGTGGAAGTACAGCATTGGTAGCTGACTACTCTGACTTTTACTTGTGCTGCCTGCAGACCTGCAACCTGTTGTGCTCATCAGTGAACATCTGTGGTGTATTTTGGTATGTCGTGACAAGGAAGAATAAATATCAAACACCCCAGAATTATTCTGTACTGTAGCTTGTTGGGTCTGATGAGCTAATGGTTTCATTGCGCTCAAAGCTTGTTTTACACCAAGATCTTCATCACACTCTGTTGCAGAACACATATTTACAGTCTCCATGCCCAGCTTTTTTTATTTTTTAATTTGAGTCAAATAACTACATGTGGCTTTTACAGCATAATTCTATACTGAGTCATCCTGACACTAACTCTGCCTTCTGGGGCTGTTGTAGCAGTATACTGTATGCCTACTATGATTTCAGCCAAAAATGTTTTTTGTAAAAGACCCTAGTTTTTATGGAGTCTCGCTGAATTACCTCATGCAGCTAGTGCTCATGAGGGGAAGTACAATTAGGTCTTTGAACAGAGAGAATGTACAATGTGCTGTAGCAGATGGTCTTTGTAGCGATGGTTCACCTCAGGCTGAGTCACCCACAATCTTACTTGCATGTAGGCTCAGACTGGATGCAACAAATAAATGAATTTGCATGGATTGCTTTGCAGAAAACAGACTAATATACCTATGTATCGTAGTACAGATTTGCTAGATTATATTTTAGATCCTACACTGGTCACTGTTAATGGCAATTCTGCTGGAAATTGTTGTATTGCTTTAGTCTTGACTGCTTCAGAGTATAAGCAACACTATGGTGTACACCATCATTGTTTGAGTAATACCTTCCTGTCTTTGAGAATGGCATAATCTCTTTTTATTATGAACAATATACTCTGGTTATGCCCAATCACATTATAATCTTGAGTGTGACAATCACCCAGAGTTTGTGTTTTAAAAATTGTGTTGTTCTAAAAGTGTATTCTCTAGCAGAGCCTGAACGATCACTGAACTGAACTGATTATACACCAGGTGAACTGGAAGTTTCTTGAAGGAGGGATTGAGTCAATTTTCTCAGTAGCTTTAAGCGTAGTTACACATCTGGGCATCTAAAGCTTGGCTTGCGGATGACACTGAAGTAGTTTCCTATGTGGAAATTTGACTGTTTAATGCCAAAATTTCTGTTATCCCCAACTATGGATCTAAGTCACTTTGTATGATTGATGCTGATGACCACAGTCAATGCCACTCAGTTTTCAGAAGGCACGTATTTAAAAGAGTGGTTGATGGCTGACTAGACTGCAGTCATGCCCTGAATGCCTGCAGTGTAATCATAATAATGTTATTCATCAGATATATATTGTAGCTTTGATTTGAAACTTTAAAGGCTCCAAGGGGAAAAAAAAAAAAAACCACAAACAAAAAAAACAGGCAGAAGAGTTTGCTCTTTCTATGTGATTATGCATTTTGATGAACAAAGGAAGGGCTTGCCGTTGTTGTCTCCATGGTTTTAAAAAGTCTTGGAAGAGTGAAGAAGATAGTTTATATAGACATCTGGCCAGTCAACAATAATAATTGCATGAAGGTTGTCATGTGCATTCTTTACTAACACTGATTAGAACATTAGGAATAAAAAGAAGGCAGTTTGCCTGGAACGTGGTTCACCATTAGGCCTGGAAATGGATAAAAAAACTTGCTGGAAATGGTGAATGTAGAGAGTCTGACATATGAATCATAGGGATTAGAAGGAGCTCTAAAATATCATTTTTATTTTTACTAAGGAGAGACAGCAAATAAATGCCAAAGTTTTGCTGTTCACTTTCAAGCAGAAAGAAGCATTCAGAGTTTACAGATATAGCTCTGCAATAGTCGAGGGTTTGTTTTGGAGGCCTTTGTGGGGTGAGGGGGTGGGTTGGTCAGTATTAGTACTGAAAGCTTCATAAGCGAATCATAACATGGATATTTCATTAAGACAGATGTAGTGATGCAGTGGTGTCTTATGGTCATTACGGAATATCAGTGTGATGCTTTATAGGACTTCAAAGTGTATATTACTTGGATATACTTGGTGATTATTAAAATCTGTGAAGAACGTGCCAACGGTGTGGTGTGTAAGGGTGAATGAGGGATAGTGTTTAGCATTTTTATTGAAGGAGTGGGGAGAACTGTGAGAAATGTAAGTTCAATTAAAGAATACATGTAGAGACAGAATAAAAAGTATTCAAAGAAAGAATGTCCACACTAGTTGTTACTGGCTGTTTCTAATGTATGGCTCAATAATTTTGGAAAGTAGTTACAGCTTGAACTAAAAAAAACAGAAGGAGATCACTAGAAAGGCATTTTTTTAACATCTCCTTCTGAGTTAAAGAGAAAGTTAGAAGATTCATTTACCTTTCCCAGGAAAATATAATCCATGTGAAGTCTTTAATTTTGTCTCATTCTTAGATGTGAAGCCGATATTGGGCCTTTTCTATGTAGGCATTGCATTTTCCCATTCTTTAAAGAAAGATTATTGCCATCATATGCCAATTTTATTCATTGTTTTTCCTGATCTCAGAAAATG